GTTTGGGCCTGGAATTACAAGAGGCAACCTTTTCGAAGCTGGACGAATAAACATTTGCTGAAGTCCCCTGGCAAAAACAATTATTTCAGTAGTGACTCACATCTCCTTAAAACCAACAGGGGAAAATATAAAACATATTCTGAAGCAAACGGATAAGTATAAAAACCAAATCAGGGGTAACCAACAGCTCAGTCCAGTCGATTCGCCTTGCCAAAGGCAATACTGAGCAGCTGAAAATCAACGGGCAGGTCGTAGCGCTGCGCTTGAGCTTTCCAAAACTAAAGACATGGAAATCCGTATTACCCAAATGGAGAACTCCCCCTTTCGTTTGCATTTTCGCCGCCTGGAACAATTGAGAAGTATGTCCAGTAGGAATAGATTCCCTCTAAAACCAAACATGGGAAATAACACATATTCTTACCTGCATCTCTTGAAAGTTAATAATTCCCACTCCAAAAAGAAAAAAGTACTTTCTTCCATGCTGGAGTGATAATTTTCACTCCGTGTTAAAATGCCCGTTCGGGTAGTTCCGACTGCTCAAGCATCCGTTCGGACCCGTTCACAACCCGTTCGAAACCCGTTCGAAACCCGTTCGAAACCCGTTCGAACCCGTTCGAACCCGTTCGTACCCGTTCGGACCCGTTCGGACCCGTTCGGAGGTACGTAAAAAATACGCCAACATTACGCAATAAGCCTTTGATAATTTATGTGCAGTGCTGATTTATGAACACTTCGATGGTAGTGAAAATATCCGTTCAAGAGTAGAAATACCCGTTCGAAAGTGGAAATACCCGTGTCCTCAGGCCAAAAAGTACTTTTTCAATTTTGGAGTAGGAATTATTAACTTCCAGGAGATCCAGGTAAGCAAATGGAAGCCCCAGCCAGCTGGGTGCAACTTGAAATTTGAAAAAAAGGCATAAAGTTGGCTTCCATCCAAAGTCTCCGAGCATTTCTGTTGCTGGTGCTCAGCAGGGAATAAGGGAATGACTCCATAAACCATCCCTTGTGGCTTCCTTTCAGGGAATCCCTAGGTTTATTCCCAACACCCGGAGCGGAAAATTCCCTACCCATCGCACCAGTAAGTAAACCTTGCCCGGAAAGAAAGCCCACTTGACATGGCACGAAGGCAAGGTTTCAACCACCCACCAAAAAGAGAAGGACACAAGCACATCCAGTGGAACCCCTGCCCTCCAGTCTGGGAAAAATCCCAATGGGGGTGTCTCTTTTTAGGGCTCTCACAAATGGATGGTTTTCCTTTGTTCTCCCTTCAAACACGCTCACTTCCTGAGTGCACGGCCAACAAAAGTAACCAATTTGTTTGAGTGCCACGACCATGGTCCAAAAATCCCAAGTGACTAAATCCACTTGGCTAAGGGAGTGAGACCCCCGCTACCCTGGGAAAACTACCGTGTCCCTAACCACCGATCGGTAGCTCCTCAACCGCTCCCCCTTCTCGGCAAATGTTCATCTTCTCCAGAATGCTCCGTGTCACGGCGAGCCCTTCTAACCACTGACAGGGGGACTACCCTGGAGAAAACAAAACCGACGACTTACCACTCGGGGTACCCACTAGGTCCTCCAGGAGAGAGGTTGGAATAAGGGTACCCTTGTTTTTCTGTCGTCTATTTTCGGGGAACCCGCCCCCAAAAAAGGGTAAAAGGGCACTACTGGGCACCTAGCCAGGACCAAAAACGCGCCGCCCAAGTCTCGGGGGGGAAACTCCGAAAAGCTCCGAGCGCCCGGCCACTCGAACCCGAAGATGCACAAGATCAGCCCCACCGGCACCACCGAGGCCTCAGACATCCGAAAGCCGCCGCGAGACAATTTGGGCGGCTCGCTCGTCTTTTTTCGAAGAAAAACGGGCCCTGCGAAAGGAAAAGCGGGGTGGTCCCACTGTGGGGGGGTCTGCTTAAAAAAAAGGGCGCGCCCCCATTTTGGGCGGCTCGAAATTGGTAGGTGTTCCCCGAATGCGGCTTTTTTTTTCCGGTTGGCCTCCCTGGAGAAGACCCAGCCAAAAGGCGACCAACCAAAAAGTACACATCGACAGAGGCAAATGACACGGTGACCATGGGCCGGGCGGTGGAAACTCAGGTTCCAAAGGAATAAGTCGCGGACGAAGGAGAACGCTCAAAGCCTGGCCTATAGACGACTCAAGTAAGGTCTTTCTGGGGGTCAAAGGGCTCCCAGGACTGGGAGCCGCGTCGTTTGGCCCGCCTCTCGCTTCTTTTTTCTTCCATATGTTGTTTTCTTTCGTAGGTTCAAACCTCAGTTGTTCAGCGACCTGGGAAACGAAAGGGAAGCCTTTTTGGGGCTTGGACCATTCTTAGTGGGGCAGCCGCACAAAAAGAAACGGAAAAAAAAAGAATTGGTGCCACTGAACAACTGAGAAACTGTTGCTCCAGTGCCTCAGGCAGGTGTCTCTTACATGGTTCCGCGACATAGGCGCTCCGGCGACGAAGTATAAGACCTACAGCCACATGATAAGGGAAGAAACCTAAACATAGCCAGGCGACTGCGATTCCTAGTAAAGAGGTTAGAATAAGGGTACCATTTTTTTTCTGTCGTCTAGTTTAGTAGGTGAACCCTCCCAGCCAGAAAACGGGGTGAGAGAGGGCACCTAGCTGGGGGACCTAGGGCGATGCTTCCCTCCGTCCAAGGACAAGATGAGGGCGCAAACGGAACGCTGCTGTGAGGAACCTACTAAGGAGCCTCTCTTAGGAGTACTCTGAAGGCTCCGGCAAGCCGCCTGGGCCTAAAATCAAAGGACACGGGTGGGTTCCATGCTTGATTTGTTTAGGAATGGCAGGAGAATGAAACCCTGGTAAATGGAAACATGGACTCAAACCTGCGGCCAAACCTGGTGGGCGTCAGTTTGACCCATACCCAAATCATAGAAATCAAAGGCACTCATCTTCCATTTGCTTAAGTCCCCTTAAGAACAAGACATCCGGTGATAGATTCCCTTTCACACCAACCAGGGAGAACTAGGTCCTCCAGAAGAGAGGATAGAATAAGGGTACCCTTTTTTTCTGTAGTCTATTTTAGCAGGGGAACGCTCCCCCCAAAAAGAAATTGGTAAAAGGGCACTACTGGAGGACCTGGAGAAGAACACCCTGTTCATTTCAGCCAACGGAAGTCATCTCGCCTTCCCCGTGCCACTCGGCGCCCTCGGCGCACGCACCGGGCCGCCGCGCCACGCGGATCAAAGGATTTTTGGCCCACATGGCTCCGACCCGAAGCTGAAGTTGGGGTGGTGTTTGACTCCCTGGACTCCCTGGACTCCCTGGATGGGGTGTAGCGGGCGGGGAAGCAGAAAGGAAACCCAGCAGCTTGGGCCAATCAAGCTTGGGTCACTCATGGGTTTTGGCTGGCTGCTTGGGCACAAAGTAAAACCCGAGCTGATGCACACGACCCGAGCTGGTGTGCTCTGCGCAGATGTCCTGCTCAAGTCGTTCATCCCATCATGCTCGATGTGTCTATGCTTGGAGACGGCAAAGGCAGAGATGTCACACCGTGCAAGCGACCGCCTTGAAACCGAGTGAAATTGCGACAAGTGGTCCTTTGCTATCCCCAAAGTCCTAAGACCTTTTTCTTTGGAGCGTCTTTGGGGGTCCAAGCCCTCTATATCATATTTGGGGTCTTAGGCTCCTAAGTATATGGTAGTCAAAGGCTGGATTTGTGTACGTCCACATACGAAGCCGGATATGAACCGCTTGAATTGGGAAATGTACCATGAAGAATGGCTTATTTGGCAGTGGCTCAAACAAATGTACCGGCACGTCTAAAAATGACACCAAAGACTAACACCTGCATAGCCTGAGCTCGTGAATTCTGAGCCACACCCATTTCATACTGTGGGTGGACGAAATCCTGCACCACTTTGAAACCATAGCAAACCATTGTTTGTTGGTATTTACAGGTGGAAGCATCACCCCAGTTTTTTACCCCAGTTTGTTTTTTGTTTAATACGTGATGCAGGTTTTCGTCCATCAGTATCAAGGCATGGTGTCCTTGTGCCCGGCTGCCCGGCTGACTGGAGCTCCAAGACTCGCAGTTGACTGCCCCTGCCATCCTGAGTTACGCTCCTGAACATGAACATGGTGCCCCCCCGCCCCAAAAACGTAAGAGACTATTCAAAATTAAACCACCAGGTCTTGACCGCAGGTTTCAGTCCTTGTTTCCATTTGCCCGGGGCCATTTTGGGTACCATCTTTTGACCAACAGCCCCTTGCAGGGACGCGACAAGCCTGCCGCGTCGCACCCTTCCCCTCACTGACCATTGGGAGGTTGCCAGCCGCACGCCACGACGACGGAGTGGAAAGCAGCTGCAACACGTCTGCTAGGATTCAATGGGTGTGTCTTGCAATAGGGGGCCCAGAAAAATGGTGGTTCTCCCTTTCGTTTCCCATTAGAACCAACCAAAACGGGGTTCCCCCTGAAAAGCAACAACACCCGATAAGTTTGGCAGCTAAGGATTCAAATCACAGACGTGCCTAATCCTCACCATGACTAATCCTACCATAGGGCAAATACAACACGAAGTTTCCTCCTATGCGTGGCTTCTGTTTAGCTGCCTTTGAAACCAGCCCAACAACAAAAAAGTTCCCTCCGAAACCAAGGACCAATTCTATCGCGGCGCCACATAGGGTGTGAGAGAACAAAGCTATCCATCCCCTATATACTGGCTTTCTTTTGGGAACCTACAACATTGAAAAGCCATTCTTCAATTTGCTTAAGCCCCCCAGGAAAAATGAAAATATGTCCAGTAGTGGTAGCAACACCAACCAGGGAGAATAAAGCATATTCTTAAGCAAATGGAGTAGTTAGCACTCAGCAATATGGCCATGGTTCAAAACCAATGGTACCATTTTGGGATAGGTGTACCACCCATTTTAGTCTATTTTAGTGGGGATTGGGATGTTCACTGGAGGTGCGATTTGGGTTTTGACCCATGGCCATATGGAACCAACACTCTGCCTCAACGTCGTGCCCCCGTTCGCCTGGTGGTCACGTCCTCTCCCTTGGTCACAACCAAATACTGAAGCAGGGACACGTGCTTGCCATCCTCTGGCGGATCCTGCGGACCCGAGCACAAACCACTCTTCCACCCGCTTGTTTGATCATCTTTGACTCATTTCCTGAGTAGACTGGCCAGAAAAAGTCCAAACTTGTTGCTTCCCACTAAAATTGCCTTCCCAAGTTTCAAGCTCAGGAACTCAGGAGTGAGTCTCGAGCGCAACAGCACGGCTTAACGGCCACAAGGGCTGCTTCGGCTCGGCAACGGATGCGACATGAGATTTCGGGGACACACGGGACACCAAGTGTGCTGTTCTTGCTGGACATAACCACCTCGTGAAACACAAGGAGATTCGTCGTGGAACAAAATCGTACTCAGAATCTATGATAGGCAGGCGCAAGGCGCCTCGCCCCTTCGGTTGACATGACTAAACAGGGATCCTTACATTATACACCTGAACATTGCCTTGTAAATGGTGGTGTCCCTTTATTTTGGTGGAAAAAGCCATGTTTCAAATGGGCAAAATGTATCCTTTGAGGAGCCCTGTTTAAGCGGGGCCTCAAGTCCACCGACCACTGCAGGGATGGCTTCCCATTGAAACTCATAGCCAAACCCTTCGGGGAGCTCCCCAAAACCGTGCTTTTGGGGGGAAGGGATGGGGTCGCGTGGACCAAGGCACGCAGGAAGGGCTCCCAAGACACAGTTTTGTTGGGAGGGAGGGGAGGTTGTTGGGAGGTAGGGGGCATATTGCAGAGGAGGGAGGGGCACGCGCCGAGCAAAGTGCAGCGGGGCTTCGACACGAAGGATGTTGACCTCACCAAAAGAAACACAAATGTGTTTTGGAGAGGGAGGAGCTCCGGAAAAAAAGGGAAAAAATAAATTAAAAACAACGGAGTCCAAGATACACAAACTTGCCATGTCCTTACGAACTGTTGGTAGCTCCTGAACCGCTCCCCCTTTAAAAAGCACATTTGGATACCCTCGCTCCCTTCCAACCAGCTTGTTGGGGGGTGGCAAGCAAATGGAAGATTCCAATTCTCCTCCAGAGCAGCTTGAATCAACTCGTCCAGCACGGCATTCACCAGCATCTCGGTAAATGTGAACGGCAGCTTCACCGAAGGAGCGGCTCTTTTCGTTGTTTTGGGCCCTTTGTTTGGTTGGGGACCCGGCAAAGTGTTGTGGTGTCCCAAAAAACAACACCCAACATGGGGTACCACCAAAGAAAAGCACATCCCAAAAGCAAACCAACCAATTCGAGGGGTCGTGAACAAATGAGTCATGGTCAAAAAACTGGTACAAAGATGGTGAACCCAAAACCAGGCAAAGAAGTAAGGCGGCCGCACCCATTCATGGTTGGGGCTGTCCCTTGCTAACCTTCAACCTTCAATTTGCTTAAGCCCCCTTGAAAAAAGTATTTCCAGTAGTGATCGATTCCTTTTAAAACCAACAGGGGAAAATAACAACATGTTCTTAAACAAATGGCAGCTAACCTTCAACTACTCGAAGTTTGATCTAGGTGAGGCTAGAATAAGGGCACCAACTTTGTTTCTGCAGTCTATTTTAGTAGGAAACACCCTCCCGACCAAAAACAGGATTGAGAAGGGGCACTGGGGGACCTAGTTGGGGGACCTAGTTGTGGCTCAAATGGATCCCCTGGACTCTCCACTTCCGCCATTCTGCTTTGGTTTCTCGGGCCGCGGCCAAGTTCTCGCCGTAGTCCTTCTGGTCTCGGAACATCGCCTGCGACCGCGGACACCGGGGGACGCGGCCCAGCGAGAGGCACGGCCAGTAGAAACACACCCAGCCAGCCATATGGCCATGGGTCATAACCTATGCCTCCATTTTGGGGCGGATGAACACCCATGTACCGCCTACTTTGATGTTCACCCGGGGTACAGGGTTTTGACCCACAGCCATATCCTCATTTGGGGGAACTAAAATCAACCAGAATCGGAGGGCTGTTTGGGGGATACCCTCTTTGGGGAAGACTGAAGTCGACCAAAATTGGAGGGCGGTTTGGGGGCGGGGGGATAGGAGCAGTTATAGAACAAGCTGGACAATTACAGGCATGATTAATTGTCCTACTCACTTCCCGAGTGGATTGACACAAAAAACAACTGTTGGTTTGCCACTAAAGTGGTCCAAACCCGAAAAGTGATTCAAGTCCATGAATTCTGGGAGTGCCTATGATTGATTTATATCCTTCCACAGTACCCAACCATCAAAATAGAAAAACCTGTCCCCACTTTCGGACCCGTTTCGGTGACTCGGACTACCCGTTTCAGTCTGCCTGTGGACTACCATCCCTTGTGCGTTACCCCTCTTTTTGTACTTTAGTTGCGATATTGTTTTTTGTGGCGGGGGGGGGGGGTTCTTAAGTTATATGTTGCTGCTGTTCTTTCTTTTCTTTTCCTTTTTTTTTGGGGGGGGGGAGGGGGGATTGTCTTCTCAGTTGCACAAGGGACCCAGAAATACAAGGTTTTCAACAGAATACATGAGCTTCTTGGCGTCGCAGTCTTACTTGCCGAGAAGCGGCGAGTTTCTGGCGAAACAATTGCCCACCTCCCTTGGCGTTCCTTGGCCAAACATCATGGGCTATCTGGCACCCTGAAACTCGCTTGCCCAACAGACCCAGAAACAAAAGGTTAACTAGGTCCTCCAGCAGAGAGGTTAGAATAAGGGTACCAACTTATTTCTTGTAGTCTATTTTAGTAGGGGAACCCTCCCCCAAGAAAGGGTAAAAGGGCACTACCGGGGGACCTATAGCTATCCTTTTGGGGCCATGATGGCCATGACAAAAAATGACCAAATCTGGGAAACCAAAAGGTCAGATCCGGTCGACTCTGGGCGACTGAGCTCGAGCGGCGAGTATCTCCCTGCCACTCACCCCGAGGGTCTAAGGTGCCGACCGTTGCTCCCGGCAGGTTCCAGTAGGGCACCACCTGTTGCTCGAGTTAGGTGCCAAATCCCTGGGATAAGATCCTAACGGCCAAGGCTGGGTGCCTAACATGTCCAAACTGCAAACACAACCACCAAAGGCTACAAGGGATATCACTGAAAATAGACATCAAGGGGGTAGGAAACAAGACAGAACAGAAAACAAGGGCTCGAGTTGTGTACACCTGAGGGTGTACCACGAGGGTTGCACCCGCCGACCTCACTGACCCACCCCCTTGGTTAACAACCTTCCATTTGGCTTTGCGGCCCCCGGAAAAGCCATGGAACATAGTTTCAGTCATAGATCCCCTTTAAAACCACAAAAGGGAAAGCGGCAATCTTCACCCTGGCCTTGGATAAATACCTGGAGTCTCCATGACTCTTTCAAAATAGGTCCATGACCCCATTATTTAGGGTAATGACCAACCATTTTTTCAGGGCCATGGAGACGGCCTTTGCACCAAAAGTCTCTTCGGACCCCAGGGTGTTGGCAAATGGATCGCTCCGACTGCCCGGCTCCTTGGTTGACGTTGGGTTAGGGGAGCAAATAAACTCGGTTGCGAACTCTGCTCCCCCGCTAAAAGTGAATAACTTTTAGTGGTTTAGTGGAAAACCCATTCTGTAGTTGGCAAAAGTTATCAAGTCCTAAAAGCCCTTGGCAAAATATAGTTGGCAAAAAGTTAAAGTCCTAACAGCCAAGCAACATGCACCAAAGAATATTTATATTGTAGCAGTTCAGTGGTTGGATTTCAACCACCAAACCACAATAAGCAAAATTGTGACATGTTTCCCAACCACAACCATGACTCGGGGTACCCAGGAAGAAAAAAAGAAGACACAGAAACGAGCCGCCCCAAATCGATCCGACTTCCCGGTGCGCTCCGAAAAGACAACAAACAAAAAACCAAAAAACTTCTCTGGGGCGCCGCGCCGACTGGGCCCTGCGCTCCGCCTCCCGCAGCAAGTTGTACACGGCGCGGATCAGCGGGGACTCGCGCCTCGGAACGCACCGCCCAAGATCAGACCCCCGAAACCCCGCATTTTCCGGGCCGCCCGAAACCCGGCCCCGGCACAAAAAATGGAGCGGCGCTTTTTTTTGTTTAATGTGTTGTTTTTGCTTCTGGGGATGGTGACGCGACATCTGGAAACCGCAAAAACGCCAGATTGCGCCATCGTTGAAACAATAGCCTTTGTTGGTATCTCGGTTGGGGAATCGAATCATTTCAGGAGTTCTTAGGTCTTGCAGTTGGTCCCTAACTGGAGCGAGAAAATGGATGGAATATCAAAGCCCCCCTTCTTCTCGTTCTCTCCAAATGAATAACAAGCCAATAATTGTCCTGTTGCTGTGTACGTACATACTCGTTGATTGTTTGCTAATTCATGTATTTATCTTGTTTTGTATGTCCCGACTTTTTTCTGGGTTCTCTGAAGAAGTGCCTGTCTTCGTTTCAAGGTTCCTTTGACCAACCTACTTCATTACATCATCCCACAATTTGAACATCTGGATTAACCCTCCCAAAAACCGCCATGCATGTTTCACACCGACAAGGAACTCCAAACACAAAGTCCACCAGGAGCAGCACACTGGCCGCTCACGTCTGCGCAGCACAAGGAGCTCAGGGAAACGACAACACCTCTGGGGAAGCAAAGCGGAACCGCAAACTTAAAACAAAAACAACGATGAATGATAATAACAACTCATAGAAACGTCTGAAAATGCGGGGGGTTGATCGATCTATTCAATTGCTTCGGCCCCCAGCTTCGACCCTTCGCGTTTCCCAGGTGGTTCAAACATCTCATCTCTTTTGGTGGCTTTCAATGGGGCAAAACCCACGACGAGCGGATGAATTTATCGCGAGCGGATGAATTCCCAAGGCGCCCGCCTGCGCAGGTATGCGCCAGAAGCCCGGTACAGGTTTATATCTCAGGCCAGTGACCAGCCCAAAAGTGAAACCACTTGTTGGACCACTAAAATAAAGGGAGAGCCGCCAAGGAAAAAGGTGTAAAGTGTGTCCACTGGCTGGGTGAGATATATAGGCCAAACAACCCACATGAAACGACCCATGGTGCCATTGTTTTTCCCCGTTTTCTGGCCGCCGGCTCCCTATCTTGCCGCACTGAAAGGTCAATTAAGTGGACCTGATCAACACCTAGTGTTACAACGGTCTACCCAGAACCACAAAGAATTCAAAAGGCGGCCACACCTGATTCCGCCTGGGGTTGTCCTCGAAACTACCCTGCAATTACTCATCTGTGTGTGGCTCAGAATTCAACAGCTGGGCTTACGCGGGTTCTGATCCATGTCTCCACCAAGCAGGGTTCCATTTTGGGTCCCCGGGTTTTGAGCCACAGCCATGCTGTGAATGCACAAAATCCATTTCGCGCCACTTGGAAGCCATGGGAAGACATTCTTTGTTGGTATTTGCGTTGGGGAATTATCCGAAACCAGGGTCTCTGTGGTGGCGCGAAATGGGTTTCGTCCATCCACAGCTAGGTCCTCCAGTAGAGAGGCTAAAATAAGTTGGTACCATTTTTTTTCTGTCTAGATTTAGCCGGGAACCCTGAACCCTCCCTTCCGCAAAAAAGTTGGGTGAGAAAGAGCGGGCACGACTCGCTGGGGCACCTAGTAAATGCAAAGAAAAGCTGCCAACCAAAGTGTTGGGTCCAGATGGAAGGGGCTAGGGCTTCATGAAGCAACACCACAACTCAGTTGTTCAGTGACCCCGGAAAAAAAGAAGAATGGGAAAACCCTTTTTGGTTGGCTTGGACCGGATGTTTCGTGGGGCCACCCAAAAAAAAGAAAGTTGGAAAAATAATCGGTGCCACTGGACAGCTGAGACAAGGGGATCCATGCCTCGTGGCAACCGGCCGAAGCTTCCCAAAGTCCCCAGGTCCGAGCCCCCAGGCGTCGTCGACCCGAAGTCGTAGTCGAAGATCGCCTGCGGGAGGGCGATCGATGGGCTGATTGATGTGTTTTTGCTTTTTGTGTTTCTTTTGCTTTCTCCGTTTTTCTGTTTCTGTTTTGTTTTTCTCCGATTATTTTGAGTTGGCACCCTTGTTTGGTGGGTTGATTGGGTGTTTTTGCTTCTTCTTTTTTTGAGTTGGCACCCTTTGTTTGGTGGTTTTTAAAGAGAAACCAAAGGACAACCAGGTATGTCTCTCGTTCGTTTCAACCAACCGTATGTTTATGTTCTGTTCTTTCTTCCTTTTTGGGTGGGGGGTGAGGGGGTCCTCTAAAAATGACACAGGGGTCTGCGAGCCGCACAAATCCCTAAGAGGAGAAACCACCAGCTGTTGACTTCGAACAACCCAGCCATGTTCCCACAGAGGCGCAACACAAAATACCCTCAAGTAGCTAGGTGATTTTTGTGCGACGGTAAGGACCCAATTTGGGTGATGAAATACCTGAACGGTAAAACATGGTGGATAAATTATATGCTAACCCGCATTGATTTAATGGTGGTAACTGAACCCCAGGGCAAAGGGAAACCACTTCTTTTGTTCGAGTACGCCTCCGAAAGAGAAATGCTCCGGCAGAAAACTGCCGTCGTTGTTTGGTATTTTAGTGTACAAGTGGGTCAGCCCGGAACAAATCCAATCCGTGCTTGCCACGAAACTGTTCTTCGCAACAAACAAAAACATGTGTATAAGACCAGAAACATAACATGGACCATTTGCCTCACTCCCGGAAATAAAAGGTTAACCTTTTGGCACCTTTCCTAAAAATGGACCCAAATTGGAAAACAAAAAGGTCAGATCCGGTCGATTCGCCTTGGTGAGTGAGCTGAATAGACTCGTTTCCCCATCAGCCCCCTGCCACTGCAAGAACCGCGGAAAATCTGCGCTGCCTTGCCGATGATGTCCAAAGATGCGGATGTGAACTTCTCCTCCATGTTCACCTGAGTCAGAATCCAAACCTGGTATTAACATGGCTGTAATCCCAGAACCACGTAAAGAATCACAAAGGCGGCGAAGGCAACTAACCCCCAGGGGCTACATGGCTGTGGCTCAAAAAACCGGTACCCAAATGGAATCCTGGCAAGTGGAAACATGGAAAAACCTGCGTAACCCCTCCTGGTTAATTTTGAGCCACACCCACATTTGAACACCTTGAGCTCACTTGTTTCGAACTTGGGAACCTTCATCCATCAGGTTTTGATGCCAAAAGCACAATCTTTGATCCCTGGCTTGTGACAGTAAACTGGGCTGTCCTCAGATCCCTGGCCAAAAGCTTAACTTTTGGTGGGATAAGTGGCAACTACCACTAAACCCCAAAAACCCAAAATCCTACAGGACCGCTGAGAACCGCCAAATAATCTATGGGTAAACCAAGTAAGCAAAGGGGTTGTTACGACCTCGCGCCCACAGGAAAGATTATAAGAAGCTTCTGAAGGGGTTCTGATCTGATCGAAGGGTGAGAACCTGTCCAGTGGCTCGAGACACGAACCTTTCATCGAGTACTTAGATGGCCGTGGCTCAAAATTAAACCGGAGGGGCAAACCGCAGGTTTTGGTCCATGTTTCCGCTTGCCAGGGCAAGCCATTTTGGAATTCCGGTTTTTTGAGCCACGGCCAAATGTTCAACCCACTTGGTAAGTACGTTATGACCGTGGTTGCAACTTGGGTAACTGGGGTTGGTCCCCTCACAAGCACGGCTATACCAAATACAACCTACTTACTAAGTTGGTTGGACATCCAAGTTATACCTCTCCTTGAGTAAAGCCTGCAGAAAACCATGATTTCAGGAGGGTTAGCGCAGGCACGGTTTGGGCAAATTTCAAAGCACGAGCAAACAAAATCCACATGCCGCCCTTGAATGCCTGGTGGCCCTAGCTTTTTCCCAAGAAGTCGAACTGGTTTCTTTATGGGGGACCAACAAGTTCAAGGCTAAGGTTCAACTAAATAGCAGCCAAGAACCGTCGTTCCACCCGGTTTGGTGTTGGGTTGGCTTTGTTGTGTCCCGTTTCTCGCAGAAACATGTGTTGTGGCATTGCTTTTGGCATAGGTGTCCTTTTGGCAAAATAGATGGGTTTCCCTGGTCCATGGGGCATAAAACCCGTCTAAACCAGTGGAACCCATCCATTTCCAACCTGAACTAACCGATCAAAAGGACACCTATGCTCGTCATGTGAACGGCACAACTTTCTTGTGGGTCCCCCTCTAAGCCAGTGGAACCCAATTGCTGGGACACCTATGCCCTGGGGCTCCACCCCCACCCAAAAATGGCTGACCCAATTTGGAGGCTGAAACTCCTTAGGTGGTTATATGACAATGACCCTTCCTCCCAACATAGCACCTGAAATGGAGACCACCGATCCACGCCTCCGCCACCTTCCCAGAGGACAGCGCGATGCTCCGCTCCACGTCGTCCGCCAGGTTCATCTGGCGTTTCCGGACACCCAACGCCTACCCCCGCCCCGGCCGTGGGAAGGATTGTGGGTGTCGGTTTGCGTAAGGAAACCACAAGACGTCCCCAACTCGTTTGCCCAAGCGGACTTTGATGTCAAGAGATTCCGGTACTGTTTCCTTACCCTAGGAGCCCAAGACCAAGACCCTAAATATGAGGGGGTTCCTTGAACCCCCAAAGGCCTCACTAGAGGTCCAAGGGGCCCCCAGCGTGAGGAAGTCACGTCCGACGTCCAACGTATTTGCCCCAAAAAACGTGGTCCAAGCGGACTTTGACGCGAGATCGTGTGCTCTCGGTGATCCGTGTAGACCGAATTACCACACAGCAGCGGGATACACGGGAAGGCTCTGAGGCTTCTTGGGGCTCTCCGTCTTTCCTCGTGTTTTGTCCCTGTGGGGCGCCCGGTCGACAAAGAAACGCGGAACCACAAAACCAGAGTCCAGCATGGCCAGCTTTTGTTTGCCGTCGTTCCAGTTGCGGCCTCATCATTCTGCGCTGAACAGTAAGATTACCTTCTTATGAACCACCAAACCTCCTTGGACACATTTTGAAAGGACCTTCTTGCGATTTCGCGGCCAAAGTAGATCGCAAGAAGCAAGGTGGTGCCCCATTTCCAACTACGAGGGAAGGGAAAAGAATCGTGTTGTGCATGTGGAATCTTGGATACACCCCGCGTCCTACTCGGCGCCTTGCCGAACATCCAGGCATTGGTCTAGGTCCTCCAGATTTGAGAGGTTAGAATAAGTTGGCACCAACTTTTTTTGGTCGTCGATTTTAGGGGGAACCGAATCTCCCAACCAAAAAAGGGGTGAGAAAGGCACCTGGACCGGACTTGGATTATCAAACTGTTTAGCAAGTATATAGGTAATTCCCATGGCTATAAGTGGGCAAACCCTTCCCATTGATCAAAAATCCCTAGATTATACACCTGAACATTGCCTGGTCAATGGTGGTGGTGTCCCTTTATTTTGGTGGAAAAAGCCACGTTTCAATTGGGCAAAATGTATCTTTTAAGGAGCCCTGTTGATCCACTACGTTGAATCCGAGGTCGACATGGACCTTTTCGACGGTCATTGGACTCGGGAAGCACAAGGTCACCCGCCTTTGCGATATTAAAACACTCGACATAAATAAGGGAGCCATCCAGTGCCCAAAACAGCAAAAACCACTCGTTCCATGACCAAAGAAGGTTTAGATAAGCCTTTCTATATGGCTACGGGTCAAACATGCGTACCCAGAACGAAAGCCTGGTAAATGGAACCAAAGACTACAACCTGCGGTCCAATTCCCGGTGTTTTTTTGTTGTTGTTTTTTTTGACCCATACCCATATCACCCCAATGAAAAACGGCAGGTCTTAGTCCTTGGTTCCATTTACCAGGGTTCCAAAATGGGTACTCATTTTTGACCCACAGCCAGGTAGGTTTCTCACGCCGAATGGAAGCGGCAAAGTCTGCCAGGCCCGCCGCACACTCCACTATCAGCTCGGTGGTCTCCTGCGGAATGGAGAACTCAGTTGTTCAGTGACCCTTGACAAAAAAAGGGAACCCTTTTTGGGGCTTGGACCATTTTTAGTGGGGCAGCCACCAAAAAAAAGGGGGAAACAGGTGCCACTGAACAACTGAGAGAACGGAACCAGTTTTGAAACTTTGCCAGGTTGGCAAGGGCAAGCTGTGCAACCAAGGCACAGGTAACAAGTTAGGGCACATTGAAAGTCTTACAGGGAAGGCATCCCACAAGGCACAAAGGAAAGGGGTAGAAGGCAACCCCACCAAGGCACATTGAAAGTCTTACAGGTAACAAGTCCGCAACCGTTTATCAGGTCCTGAGCCTTCATTGTTTTGCAACCAAGGCACTGCAGTATTGGAGCTCTGGTACGGACATACGGAGAAAAGTGGGCCGTGTCTTGACTCCAAACGTCACAAGTCGTACGGGTGCAGCTCGAGAAGCGAGAGCTAGGGTTACGCAGCTTGTCTTGGGCTTCATTTTTGCCCAGGGGCCATTTGGGTATGGCTCAAAATTAAACGATCGGAGAGCAAATACCGTGTTTTTGAGCCACAGCCATTTGGCTACCTGTTTGTTGAGCCACCACCATACCTGCGTTTGCGTATGGGTTTGTCTCGAAGGGACTGGATCCCAAAATGATGGCTCCCTCTTGGTTTCTCTGAAACAAACACCCCGGAACAGCGTGCAAAGCCTCAAACAAAACGTCTTTCGGAGATGTAAAGGGGCAACTGCAGGTTGTCCACCATACTACTGGCTCCCTGGATACAACAGGGTTCCATTTGTTGATCACATGCTGGACTTAAAACGTCTTCACTTCCCCTTGCTTTGGAAAAAACATCTCCAGCAGTCATAGATTCCTTTAAACCCGGCAAGGGACATACAAACAAATGGTCTGAACCGCAAATGGAAGCATACTGCTAGGCAAGTAGGGGCAACAAGGCATAGTTACCTACTATGAAAAAATATAAGGGGCTGAATCATTGATTTCACGACTCTCCAGAGAACCCAACCCGCCCCCCCCCAAAAAAAAAAAACGAGCGCCCTGGGCCCGAAAAAAAATCTCTCTCGCGACTCGCAACTCATGGCGCTCGTTCAGCCACTTCTTGTGGAAGCCCGGCACGATGGCGCGCCGGCGCCTCCTCGCAGGCGACAGTAATTAATAAAGTCCTTTTAACACCAACATGGGGAAACTAGTTAAACATGGTCTTAAGCAAATGGAAGTAGTCAAAGAGTTGGGGCTACAGGAAAGTCTGCAGGAAAACAGCTTACTTCGGGTTTTTGGGGCCATTTCCTGTAGATGTTCCTGCAACCAAACCCTTTGACATATTAATCAACCCCAGTTTATTAATAGGGGGGGTGGAGACACCTCCAAGAGTGGTCTGATTCCCAGCACAAAACCCAGGGACATCCCCTATTGATCTGCTGGGGTTGATACATATGGGGTCAACGTTAACGTCCCACACAAAGCATACCTGCCAATCATCTCCGTTTGCCTCAAAGCCAAAAATGTCAAAATGACCAAAGCGACCCAAACAACACGCCAAACTGTTTTTGTTTATTTACTTTTTCGTAGATCAAACCACGAAGGGTCCCGAATACGTTCAAACACAACCATAAACAAAAAACACGAGAAGCAACAAAACCCACCGCTTTTCCGGGAGCGGTAAGAATTCACCTCCTTCACAGGAGTCAATCGTGGAGCCGGCGCGGCTGGTTGACCTTCATTCGTAGTCGAGTTTTGAGCAATAAAACGCGAATTCCCGGCAGGGATTCAAACTGCGTCCTTTTTGGGTCATTAGGACTTCTTGCTTTCTTTCTGTTTCTTTGGGGGGGACTCACTAGGGATTCAAACTGCTCTGCCTTTTTTCTTTTTCTCTTTGTTATTTTCCTTGCGGGGGGACTCACTTGCCCCGGGGCAAGTAGAATTCAAAGGTGTTCACCTTTTGGAACCTTGAAGTGGACCAAATCAGGAAACCAACAGGTCTTGCTTGGGGTCTTGCTTGACGTTGGAAGGGGGGCAGCAACTTAAATTTTAGCAGTTCAGTGGGGATTTCCCACTAAACCACAATAAGCAAAAATGTAAGATCCACCAAAGAGCTAAAAGTGGAAGCCAGCAAAGGACGGACAAAACCAGGCGGGGGGGAGGGGGCGGTCCTTTTGCTTTCCCTTTTCAAGCAACCCTCATCAGCACACTCCAAAATTAACATGCCTGAACTTTTCGGAGTCTCCAACATTCTAAACAGCTCGATGTGGCTCTAGAAATGAAAAAACGTGGAACCCTCCACACCTCGGTTGCTTTCTGCTCCCCTGCTAAAAGTTTTTAACTTTTACTGGTTTAATTCAGAAAACCCATTAGCTGGCAAGTCCTAACATCCCTTGGCAAAATGCGCCAAATGTGACATGAGCCTCAAAAATGTGCGCCCAACGTGGCCCCTTGGTCAATGGACCTGGCCGTGCGTGAAAATCCTGCAAAATGCACCAAAGTTGGCTGGAATTAGGACCCCAGCAAAAAAAAAAATGTTGCCTGGTTAGTGGAAAACAAAGGGAACCCCAAAAAAGCAAACAAGGAAACAGGGAAGTTCATTCCGGGGAAGCAAAGTAACGGTGTCCGGTGGCGGTCACCTCCCCTCCGTCGATCCGTCGATCCGTCGACTCGTTCTCAGGGCTGGGCTTCCAGGTCTCAGGATCGGCGGGGATGAGGCCCTGACCTTGCCAGCGAGTGTGCTGTGGTGGGGCTGAGGGGGGGGGGGGTGGTTTTGGGTTTGGGGAGGTGGGGGGGGGGGGGGGGTTTGGTTTTGGGGTCGGTGGAGGTGGGGGGGGGGGTTTTGGGTGCCCCTTCTCCAAATAGAAAGTCGGGGTGAGCTCGTTTTTCTCGCAGCGCTCGGCATGGTCAAGCCAGTATTGATCAACCCGGATCTATTGGAAGTGTTCCCCAAAATGGAACACCGCGCCAAGGGTCCTTGCTTCTCTGGCTAGAGTCTCCTTCTCACCCGAATGAAACATGGGATGGGTTGCCATGAGCCCTTTCTTTTGGGTAATGACCCCGTGCTTCAGTTGTTCCTCCGTTTCCCTTGTTGGAACCTCCAAAAGTGGAAACCACCGATAAATTGATCGATCAACATTCGACTTGAGGAAATCCAGCGACCCCTGCTCAGTTTTGAATGGTCATGGATCCCTTACTAAAAGCTTAACTTGCAGGCTAAATTCGGAAGCGTTTTGGGGTCGGGGGAGGTGGGGGGGGGGGGGGTATGATGGGCACTGACGTGATCTATTTTGCTCAGGTGATCTGGCTGTGGCTCCAAAATGGGCTAACCCCAAAATGGCTTGCCCTGCTGGTAAATGGAACCCATGACTAAAACCGGCGGTCCAATTCCTGGTGGTTTTAACATTGACCCACACGTCTAATCCGAAAAGGGAGTCACAAGAGCTTGGCGTCCTCCCAGTGAAAGCCTCCCAAATGTTAAACTTGGCGGATCAACCAACCTGACAGCGGGCTTCCCTTTTTGAAGCCCCAAAATTTCCGAGCTGCCCAATTTCCGAGCTGCACACTCTCTGACCCTGCTTCATCTTGGGGAAGCTTGGCGGCGAGCAAGCGCGCTGCAAAAAGGGGCCCCCTACCAATTCCCCCCCCTCCGAGTAGGGCCTGTTTCTTTCGGAGGGCTTGTGTCAAATAGTGGGTCCCCGAAAACGTTCCTGTTGGGAAACCACCAAACAACTTGGATGAGTAAGCCGGGTGTTCAACTCCCGGAGCTTTGATTGCCTGGAAATGACCCCTTTCCCCTGCGTGATATTTTTTCTCATGCCAAAGCTCGCGCGGCCCCTTGCCAGAGGCAAGCCGGAGTTTTTCACCCCGGTCGTCCGGTCGTGGCGTGTTTTCTTGTGTTACTTTCCTCACTTCCTGAGTGCATGGATCAAAAAAGAGTCTGAACTGGCCATGAGTTTTCATTAGGGACCCTCTGCTGCACATCATTTAGGTGCTGATTCATGTCCACCAACCACTTTGTAGGGGATTCCTTATTCAAATTCATGGCCAACTGTTTGCTTTAAAGTGGTCCAAACCCAAAACGTTTTGAAGTCCTGGAACTCCGTGCCTGTGGAGTTTCAGAACTGTAATCCCCTATGCATAAGCCATGTGGTCTTTGGTTCCTAACCCTTTACATTTCGCTCAAATCCTGAGGACCATCTCTATGTCCAAGTTGTCCAACTTCCAGGGCTTCCTTACTAGGAACCCTCTGCGTTTTTGGGGGTGATGACCATCTCTACCAGTTTGTTCAGTTTTTTTTCTTGTTTTTACAAAACATATCACATCGGCTTCAAACAATGTTCGAACATGGACAATCATAGCGTATCTTCTTTCATGGTCACAGCTGGGATACCACAAAGTTGTCCCCAAAAGGGCGGAGTTTTGACCATCAAAGGGGTGTGGTTGTCAAAAATAGGGCAACCCCAAAATGGAACTTCCGGTAAAAGGAGACAGATTCAGATTCATCACTAAAACCTGCGGTCCCCTGAAAAAATCACTAAAATGAGAAAATGCCTGTATGGTCTCTTTTCTTGTCAGCATTGTATGGGTGCCAAAATTGGCACCGCTACGCTCAGTGCTCAGTCCAAAATGTTCATCCCAACCCAAACATGGAACTTCCGGTAAAAAGAAACAGATTCACCAAAACCTGCGGTCCAATTCCTGGCGGTGTATTTTTGACCCATACCCATATGTGGCTCCTTCCTTTTTTGGGGGGGTAGAGAGGTTAGAATCAGGGTCCAACTTTTCTCTGTAGTCTACTTTTTTAATAGGGGAACCCTCCCCCCTAAAGAAGGGGTGAGAAAGAGCGGGCAGCGCCAATTGCTGTTGGGGACCTAGTTAGTTTTCGACCCCTGCCCCAAACTGTTTTTTCCCCAACAGCTGAAAGCTTTGGGGTCTCAGCCCAGATAGGGGCGGCCCTGAGGTAAGGTTCCACGAGGGTTCTACGAGGGTTCCAGGGTTCTACCAAAGTTCTACCAGGGTTCCACCAGGGACGAGGGTTCCACGAGGGTTATGTGAGGGTTGTGGGGTGGTGCGAGCACTAAAAGGAGCACCGCATGCCGTTGGGGATATCACCTGAGCTTATTTCCCCAACAGCTGAAAGCTTTGGGGTCTCTGAGATAGGCTCCGGGGTGGTCCGGGGCAGCCCTGAGGTAAGGTTCCACAAGGGTTCCACCAGGATTCCACTTTTTGTTCTTTCTTTTTCGGATCCGATCTGGGCTGCTGCGCCCATGATGGGCTCCAAGACCTCCGACAAAATGCCCTTGGTGTAGAGCTCCTATCGGCACGGAACGCTGGGCGACGGTTGGCTTGTGGGTGTTGGTTTTTGAGGCTTGGGTCCCTGATTTTGTTTATTCCCCCTTTGTTTGTTTCTTCTCTGTGTTTAAATATATATGGGAAACCCAACAAGGAACACCACGATCGTTGTTTTTTTTTTGTTCAAGTCCCCTGCTTTGAGACATACGAAAATAGACGCTTTGGTGGACATCATTTGGACTGTTCTTGCACTAGCTGACAGCAAGAAACGTTTCGGCTTGCAAATAAAACTCCAAAACCCCAGCAGTCGGTGCACAAGCTCTGCGAGGTTGCCAAACCAACCCAACGCCCCCTGAAAGCAAGCTGCGCCTCAAACCTATTGACTTGTGGTTCTAAATACAGACATCATGGTTTGCTAAGGGACTTACTGTGATCCCAACTAAACCAGACAGTAGAAACTCACTCTGCCATCTAAGCGCTGTGACCACTAGCTGTGCAAAGCAATGACTGTTCAAACCAACAATTATGTGTGTTGTTAAGGGTATCTTTTGGGGATGGTTTAAAGGGAAACCAAAGAGACAACTAGAAGCCCCCAATTATGGAGACAACCCCATTTGGGCATGTGTCCTTCTGTTTAGGAATCAATCAAGTTTAGGAATCGGAACCCCAACAGACGCAAAACCCTCCGGGCAGAACCACCTGTACCTGGATGTTCAACCCGCGTGGTAAAAAAACCTGGATGCTCAAAATAGCTTGTTAGAAAGGCATGTATTGGCCCAACATTTTGGGGGTAAATTCCGGTCTTTAAGGGTAGTTTGAGGGTCCAGGTAGGCTAGAGCCATGGTTATATCCCGGATAACCAGGGTGAAACAACCTGCTTACCTCACGTTGCTTGAACATCCCAGTAGTAAGAATCAGCAGCTGAAGCCCTTTCGCCGGTGGACGAAGTGTACCTATCGCTCGGTTTTGGGACTCGCGACCTCCACAAATGGTAAGGTGCTTGTCCTCTTGGTTTCCTTCAAACCACCAGATACGGGAAAACTCTCACGATGTGTGTATATATATATATATACACCGTTCTTACTGGACACGCCTGTAAACGTCCAGTGTTTTTGTGGAACAGGTAGGTTGCTTGGGAGGAGGGGCCTACCATATATACATATCGCCCTATATATACATAAATATACAAAGTCTGTGGAGCTCATGTGATTATGCTACAGACGCCACCGGCGTTTTGGGCATGTCCACCATGGAAGCCGTCCCACCCATCGAAGCCGAAGCCGAAGCATCCGAAGCCGAAGCCGTGTCCGGGGAGCTGGTCATGATCCTCTTGAGGATCACCGGGTCCGAGACCACCACCACCGACCGGGGGCCGATCACCTGATCGAGATATTTTTCCACCGCTCGTCTGATGGGTCGACGCGTCTTCTTTTTGAGTGGTACTGTGGATGGACAAAATCCTGCACCACTTGGAAACCATGGGAAACCATCCCTCTAGGGCCTCTTAGTTGGTGCAGGATTTCGTCCATCCACAGTAATTACCACAAGGCAAACGTCCCCTAAAACAAGATGCACCAATCTGAGTCTGGGGGGGCTCAACGCTCAATGCATCCCCACACTCGTCTTCTGGGTCCATGTCTTGTTTGGGCTGTCCGCTTTCTGCTCCGCTTTTGGGGAGACTTGCGGGACTTCGAAAACCCAACAACCTTGAACCCTGAGCCTAAAACTAAAAACACCAAGTTGGAACGGCCGGGAAGCGCTCATTTGGTTGCTGCCAAAAGGAAGCCGAAGCCCTTTCGGGGGTCCCAAGATGGAAGACACATGCATATGGGTCTAGGGGTGTGTTCCCTCCAAAACAGCCATGTTGGTCCACATGTCTTTCTCAACTCGTATGAAGGGGGGGAGTCCCCACCAAAAGTGATGCATCTCAGTAAGAGGGGCGCACGCCTATGAATCATCCCACACGACTGCCAATACTTCCCCCTAGCTTCACCAAAGGTAAATGGGCCCAAAAGGTGCCGTTTAAATGCAGGGAATCCTGCATCCTCAGGTGCCTCCCCCTAGCTTCAGAAGAGGAAGGTCGCCCAATTCCGTGTTTCTAGTCGACCCCACAAAAAGGCGAAAAATTGCACCTCAGTTGTTCAGTGACCCTGGTAAAACAAGGGAACCCTTTTTGGGGAAGACCATGTTTAGCGGGGCAGCCACCCAAAAAAAAAAAGTTGGAACAAGAATCGGTGCCACTGGACAGCTGAGGTACTAATGGAGATCTCCAAAGGTGGGCCCCCCCTCCCCCAACTCCATTTGGAACGGGGCAGCCCCTCCGGCACCAAGTAGGCCACCCTCAAAAGGACAGCCAAAATCAGCGCCCAAACCCTCCCGGGTTCAGCTACCATGAATCCATTTCTTTGGTTCATATGGGTGGGTCAAACATAGGTACCAGGGATCCGGATGCATGAAAAACACCAAAAAACATTGCAACTTGTTTTGTGGTGGGAAACCCAACTTGATTTTGGTGTTGACAAAGCAACATGTTTTAAATGGTGGCAAAATGGAGATCTTTTAAGGAGCCCTGGGTACCCATTTGGGGAACCTTGGTAACAGTTTAAACAAGGAGTAACATCGGCGGCTTGTCTGGAGGTGTAATGTTGACCAGCACGCATATAACCACCGGTGCGTGGAACCGCCGAACACGGGCACCGGGTGTTTTTGGGGCGCTCAAATCGGCTTGGGCCGGCGCAATCTTGTAGACGCCCTCGCTCTCGCCATAACCCTCCAGGAAGACTGGCATCGGCGCGCCCGTGATCCTCGCAGGGATTGGAAATCAACAAAGCACAGGCGAGTCGCAATCGAAACCTGGAATCAACGTGGTCTACCCAGAACCATGCAAAGAATCAAAAAGGCGGATTGCGCCCATCTATTCTTGGGATTCTCCCTTATTACTACCCTTCTTCTACCCAGGTTTTGAATGTGGCCCAGGGGTAATTGGATGTTCAAGCAAAGTCTGGTATGCAGGTTTGGCTATAACATTCGTAACTGGGGTTAGCCCCCTTGCAAACCATGGTGCTCTTTTTACCTACTCAGTTGGTTGACCACCCAAGTACCTCAGATGCCCAGTGGATTCCAATGGGAAAAAAGGGAATCCCTTTTTGGCTGGCTGACTTTACAGGGGAACCCTTCCCGAAAAAAAGTCGAAACAAAGAATTGGCACCACCGGGCAACTGGGCACCCACAGCAAGCTTCAGAGGAACCCTTCAAAGGAACCCTCAGAGCTGCTGAGCTGCTGAGGGCTAAGCCACCTGGGGGGGAAAGAATGGCCTGGGAACTCTGAAGCCCAAAAGTCAGAAAAAACACATCACGCACGGAGATGCAGTTGAGCGCCACTAGGCTGTATACCCTGATGCGTATAAATACTTCTGGGGGAGTGGTGGTTGAAAAATTGGGGGGCAGTGAACAAATCATCTTGGGAAAATCAACCTCCGGAAACTCGCTTGTATTTCTCACTTGCCCAGAGGATCTGGAAATAAAAGGGTTAAACATGTTGGGGCCATGACCAAAAATGGATCAACATAACTCGGCTGCCCTCAGATCCCCTGCTAAAAGTTAGACTTTTAGTGGGTGAAATGGAAACTACCACTAAACCCTAAAAGCCTAAAAGGCTAAGGGGACGGCTGCGGGCCACCAAGATAAGAAACCAAAAGGTCAAAGGGTCCCTGGAGCTAGAAAACAACTCTGCGAGTATTTTGAGATGAGTGTTACTTTCTTCGTGACCCTCAAGGAAGAGAGCTTCAGGGTAAAGTCAGCTTCCCTCTACTTGGTGGTTGGCTTGGTGGCTTCCAATCCCAGACGCAGTTCAAATCCTTAAATCCTCATTCGAACAACTGAGATGGGAAACACAAGCGAGCGCCCCCCCTTTTTTTCGCGGAGGGAAACAACTGAGAGCCAGGGAATCCTCACTTGTGAGCGGATGCAGGGTCGCTGGCAAAAAAACGCGCGTTTGCAGCGGCTGCGAATAGCGCCCAGCGCGTCCTCTCCATGCGGCCCATCACCATGTTCTGCATGAGCTCCGTCGCCTGCCGCCCGCCTGCGAAGCCAGGCGCAAGGCGCAGGAGCTCCCGCGCAGGCGCGCAAAGCCCGTTGCGAGAAAAAAAACAAAAAAACGGAGAAAACAACATGCCCTGAGCAGAATTGGAACCTGGTAAAAGCAAGGAAAATGAAACCAAGCGATTGAAAGGTTGAAAGAAAACCAGGAGGGAACACATGGGGGTCTTTAACTCTCCCCAACAATTGTGGTCCTTCCTGTTGATTTCCTCTAAAGCCCAACCCTTCTGAGGGTGCGAAGCCTCAACAAAACAAGGGGAACAACACCCATATGGGGGTCTTTAACTCTCCTCAACAATTGTGGTCCTTCCTGTTGATTTCCTCTAAAGCCCAACCCTTCTGAGGGTGCGAAGCCTCAACAAAACAAGGGGAACAACACCCATGGGGGTCTTTAACTCTCCCCAACAATTGTGGTCCTTCCTGTTGATTTCCTCTAAAGCCCAACCTTTCGGAGGGTGCCAAGCCTCAAAAGGACGAGCCGCCCATATGAGTCAAGACCCACTACTAATATGGTGGACCCAGGACCATGCTTCAAGAATTCAGAAGGCGGCGATCCGCAGCTCTTTCTGGCAGGGGGATTGTCCCTGACTCACCTTCATCAATCCCCGGGTTTTGAGCACGTGGCCCAGGTCGTACTTGGATGTTCAAGCAACGTCAGGTGAGTAGGTTACCATGGCTACAACCGGCGCAACTGGGGTTAGTCCCCTTAAGAACCATGGTGCTTTTTCTACCATGGTTAGTTTTGGTTGGCCCCAACATAAAGACGAGCCACTCATATGCCAAGCAAAGCCATGGGTCATCTTGTCGCGCTTGCACGATCGCCTGACTCCGGGTCTTGTTCCCCGAACTTCTTCAAGTTGTCCTGGACGATGGTGATCCACCTTGGATGTCACCAACCCGCAGAGGAAAACAAAGAAAGAAATGCACAAACAAAGCAACATAGAGTATAAGTATGAATCTATATATATATAGATGAGTGAAGGAATTACATCAACAAACAAACGTATCAATAAACAAACATACTAAATGACTAAACTGTTTCCGTGCTGAACTGAAGATAGATCAACCTCGCGCCCGGCAAATCTATGGTTCTGGACCTCAAGGAGCCTTTCCACTGCTCTTCTCCCAGCGTCCAAACTGCTTTCCCCGGTTTCGAAGTGACACATGGTTGAAAAAAAAGAGGACATGAAGACTGGATTCAAATCAGGAAACTCTAAAACCCGTTTGTAGATGTATACCGATTGTTCGAAACATGTTGAGCGGCCTTCCGGCTGTGGCTGCTGTGGGAGTGTATGGGGTCGAGAAATGTGTGGGGCTCGCACCCACCAATCATAAAATGGGAAAGGGTGCCACTGAACAAATGCGCAATGCCCAGCTATTGCTGTGCAGCCTACCTTTTTCACCCGCAATCCAAAAGGCAAACGTTTGACAGGAGCGCCCCATTTTTGTGGGATTGTCGATGGGTATGTGTCAAAACACGGTGGGGGGGGGGCTCAACAAATGATGGTTTTCCTTTCAGCTTCCCTTCAAACCCAAAACCCGAAAAAGGGTTCCCCCCCAACAACAAAAAAACAAGGCCCCAACAAACCAAAGGCCGAAAAGATACCCCCAACAAACCGACTCATTAAACGAAGGCTACCTTGGCGGACGGATAAGGACCACCGGGCTGCCCCCGAATACACCCGGGCCTCTTTGGACTCAAACGCCTGCACAGGGGATCGGATCTGACGTCGGATTTGGGGAACATGACTTGGAAGTCCTTTCCGTTTGCGTCTTCGCCCCCTGGACAAAATATACAAGATCGATGCCGTCGATGCCTTTTAAAACCAACAGGGGGAAACATATTCTTAACGAAATGCAAGTCAGAGTTGCCCGTCCAAATACCATGCCTAGGTACTCCAAAAAAAAAACATATATGTGTATATATTAAACAAATGGAAGTTGTTTTTTTTCAAAGGAATCGGAACCCTTCCCAAAAAAGAAAGAACAAAGGGCGGAATCCACTTGCTTTCTCTGAGGCGCGGTACCATTTCTGGTTTTGGTTTGGTTTCGGGAAATCAATAGGCAGTTGCCGTTGCCGTTGCGACCAAATCCTCGAGCCATGGACAAAAAGTCACGGCGAGAGGGTCCTTTGAACTGAAAAGTGCCGGACCGCTGAAAGAACCGCCAAGATCGTTGAGCGCGTGTTTTCCATTTGCGTTTCGCCCCCTGGAAAAAACAAATCCGGTCGCGATCGATGCTTTTTAAAACCAACGGAGAAAAACAAATGAAACAAATGGAAGGTGTGGTTTCCTTTTCTGGTCCTGGGCTCTCCCTCTGGGTTTTGAGGTCCCGCGCTTGTTCTGCACCGGGATGCCGTCAATGAACTCCCCGCTCACACCCATGGTCTGCAGCACCTCTGCAACACCGGGCTGTTGAGAAGCTGTTGAGTTCCCTTTCAAGCCACTTTGAACATGGAAGCCGCATTTCCAGCTCAAATGGCTTGTTCAATGTGTTTCTTCTTTTATCAACTGTAGAAAAAGGGACCCATTTCCCTAATTTAGGAAATGAAGTACGCTTTCGGCATGCCATCAAATGGCTCTTTCAATAGCTACATCTCCAACCAGAACTCCGATCGGTAGCTCCGAAGGGCTCCCTCTTTTTAGTGGCAGCTTTGGATATCCGGAAAGCTCCCCGTCACGGCTCCTGCCAACCACTGGCTAGAGAAATGCTGATCGACAAAATGAAACCATCTCTTGATCACCCCAAGGTATGATGAAACCCAGGCGGAATCAACCTCTGGGTTTGCTAATGGAACCAAGGAAGGTATGTTCATCGGGGCAAGTCCTTGAAGCGAATGTTCAAGCTCCTGTATATATATATATATATATATATGTATGGATTAGTTGGAGTATAGAATTGTCCCTCTCTTTGACTTGTAGAGGGAAATGGGTCCATGTCCAATAAGGGTCCCCTGTCTAAAGACACTAGCGTCTCCAGTTGATAAAACAAGAAACTCAACTTTGCCAAGAGCACCCTCAAAGCTTCCTTTTACTGGTCGACGAGGAGGGTTAATTTCCGACCTCACACACATACATAATTTGTGTATGTCATATATATGTGGGTCAAAAGACAGTACCAAAATAGCACCTTGGTAAATGGAGCAAAAGTCTACAACCTGCGTAGCCCTAGCTCTCCACACCCATATATCCTTCACAGTTGAACATCGAGTGCTCTTGGACCAGAGCAAAGGGCCAGCGTTGATTCACCATGTTGAAGCCAGGCTGAGAATACCAAAACCCTGATGAGTTCACAGCCCTACTCATACAGTATCTAGGTCCTCCAGTAGAGAGGCTCAAATAAGGGTACCCTTTTTTTCTGTAGTCTATGTTAGTAGCCAACCAAAAAAGGGGTGAAAGAGCGGGCACCTAGCTGGGGGACCTAGGTATCAGTGGCTCCTGATGCCTCCATGAGGAGCCATCCATTGTTTTGAAGCGATAGAAACCCTGCCAAAGTTTTTTTTTTTTAGTGGACCCCCTTAGAATGGTTTGGGCGTGCTTTTATTGTTTTTCTTAAAACCAGCCGAACAGTTATTTTTTTGAGAAAAGGCAGACTCAATTGGAGAAGTGTTAATCCAGTATCCGGGTCAACACTAGGGGCCCGGTATGCCTTGCTTGTTTATTTAGGCCCTTCAAGCCATTTCCCTTTTTGGGTTAATTACCTCCAAAAGTGGCGATCGTTTCAATGTGAACGATCAGTCAATTATTTAATTTGTGATTTGGCGAATCCAGTGACCCCTGTGGGGTGTCTTTTGAGGAATTCGACCCCTCAAAATTCTGGGAGTGTTCCTGTTGGCTTCCGTTTACAACGCACAAAAAAGGAGTGTCAGGTGGAGGTGTCCATTTAACCCACAAGTTAAACTCTTGGAAGGGGATCAGAAAACGGACAGCCCAGCTTGGATCACTTGTTTTCCGCTAGCTTTGAAGAGGATCTTCCTTTTTCAAGACAAAGCACATGTTTCTTTTGGGTCCGGGAAAAAGAGAGGACAGAATGCCCTTACCGGAATCCACTTAAAACTTTCTCAAAATAGGAATCGGTCCAAAGCGAATCGACCGGATCTGACCTTTTATTTCCCGACCCTTGCGTTCCCATTTTGAGTGGCCTAAAGGTGATCAACTCTTTGTGTTTGGGTCCTTTTCCCCAAAATGCCTTTGCCGCCTTTAGAGCATTGGCCCCAGGAAATTTGTCTTTGATTCTGGTCCATCGTATTTGTCGAACCTTCGTAACACAGCTTCAGAAGCAACTCACCATTCTACTCATCTGCTTGGGGAGGTTTTCTACAAATGTAAAAGTTCCCAGTATGGGAATCATATGGAACCATGACTAGGGCCCACCGTAGCACATTTGGGCAGACATCGGCTGGGTGAGTTCTCTTGTAACCCAGAGGCTCCCAATGTATTTAGGGCCCTCAAACAGCCAGTTTTTGAGAACCTCCAAACACCTGCGGAGGGGGGGGAAGCACCCGGCCGCCGGACCCGCGAGATTCTGGTCGTTTCAACGACCCCAGCGAGCGCCGGCGCCCCGACGCGCCCCGAGCTCCGTTTCGGATCGAGGGGCGTTGATGAAGGTGAGCCAAGGGCCATCCAGGCCAACGGCTTTGCTCACCTGCGGGGAGGCTTGAGACTTGAGGCCTTTTGGGAAAATCGATGGGAATCCCTGGATGGAAGAAACCCCATCTGAACCTGCGTGGTGAGTCGATAGGTGGGCTTTTGGGAAAATTGCTGGAAGGAAGAAACCCCATCTGAACCAGTGGAACCCATCTATGTTGAACCAAACTAACCGATCAAAAGGACTGCGGGGTGAGTTGAGACTTGAGACCTTGAGGGCGAGTGAGGAAGGCTTGCGGGGCTCGGGGGGTGAGACCAGCGGGGGGTTTGGGGTTGCGGGGCGCGGGACTAGGGGGTGACCGACGGGGGAGAGGGGAGGCACCCTCGTCACGGCGAAGGAACGCCTAGAAAGAACGGGGCAGGTTTCCTGAACCAACCTGCAAAAAGAAACAGCGGCCGAAAATGGATACTTGTCTGGGTGCGGAGAAATAGGTTAAGGGGAAATCAGAAATTAGGTAACTCTGAGCGATTTAGCACCCAGCTTTGCCGGTGTGTTAGAGAAGCAGCCTTCTGAGGCAGCCACTGGGCTGCCCTCAGATCCCCCCTAAAAGTTTAACTTTTAGTGGGTTAAATGGAAACTACCACCAAACACTAAAGGCCAAAAAGCTAAGGGGATGGCTGGGAGCCACCAAGGGCAAACAACTGAGTCAGTCTTTCACCCCGAGCAAACATCTTTAACTTTTGCTAGCGACTGGGTTGACAGTCATGCCCACCAAGAGATACTGTGGATGGACGAAAACCTGCACCACCTAAGAGGCCCTGGAGGGATGATTCCCCTGGAGATACCAACAAACAGTGGTTTCCCATGGTTTCCAACTGGTGCAGGATTTTGTCCATCCACAGTATTAAAGTTCAAACTAATTATGTCAAACTAGCCATGACAAGGGGACTCACAGCCTTGACCCAACATGTCACCATCCAAGCATCTCCTTCACCTTGCCTAACATGGACCCATAGTCTGAACAGGAGTAGTGTGATGTTCCCAACATTACGTACGAAACAAACCACTTGAAATAACTGTTAGACTGCGACGGTTGATCCTAAGGGAAGTGTTGGACCCCCAGCTGGATCCCCCGCTTAGACCTTCCAAGACTCACCCAAGACTCCGAGATCCCCATGAAGCGCTGACCTTTCCAACAATCATGCATGTGGACAGCAGGCCATAACTAGTCTTTTTGGTTTCTGTCGTCTATTCTAGTAGGGGAACCCTCCCAACCAACAAAGGGTTGAGAAAGGGCACCTAGCTGGGCGACCCAGAAATAACCTTCAAAAGGATGGCAAGTCCATAACCTTACTGTCCATGTCCATGATTTTTGGAATCATTCCAAGGCGGGAAGGCCTTGCGGGTTCAACTGAAGCACCCCGGGAGGTCCATGGAAAAAGTTGCGGTGTCGTTCCCCCATTGGATCCTATAACCCAGGATACCAACAACTTACCATAGCCGAACACCCAGGTAGCAAGCAAGCGAGATTCACCTCAAGGCCATTGTGATGTTCAAGCTCTTTTAAAGGGACATATGGGAATGATGTTTCATAGGGGGGCCAAAATGGTGGACATTGAAATTCGGTTGGGATTCCTGTCCATCAAGGGAACCCTCAGTGTACTCACGAACCATCGCGCTGTTTCCCGCCACATATCTGGGGTCGGGCCCCTCACTGGGCCGGTTCGTGTCCACAGCGTCCACTCGACCCACGTTCCGTCAAAAGGTAAACGCCTGTGATGAGGTCCAACACATGTCCATTCATGTGACTGGATACTATTTTGACAGAACATCATGTGTCTGCTTGTTAGTTTGCTTTGCGAAATCGCGAATTTCAGGGCCGCGGGATTCAACCGGCCCCGAGCCCTGACCTCTGCAAATGCTCCAGCAATCCTGGCTGTCACACGGCAAAACTGCTCGTCTCATACTGGCGCGACTCACTGACTCACGCGTTCAGGTAGGAGGTGGTGTCCTCAGGAGCAGCGGCGCAGAAAAGAGCTCAACAGCAAGACCTGACATTCAAGAGACTGCCCAAAACTCGGTTCAGGATATACAAAAGCGGGCAATCGGGTATGCCCTCCTCTATCCTCGAATGATGGTTTCAGTGTGGCTCACATGGAGAATCAACAGTAAACATATCCCGCAAGTTCTCAGCAGAAAGCAAAGGGCGCCGCTCTTACCAAAGGACACATGACGCACTTCTATCCATTTCAAACTTCATATTTACAAACAACTAGGTCCTCCAGTAGAGAGGCTAGAATAAGGGTACCCATTTCTCTGTAGTCTATTTTAGTAGGGGAACCCTCCCCAAAAGTAAAAGGGCACTACTGGGGGACCTAGACAATCTGGTAAGGCTACCGTGCCAACCGAAAATGACGCCTGCTCCAAACTCCGCGTCTTCTCAAAGACCTATTCTGAGCTCCAAGCGATCTGCCCAGGCATCTCGCCAATGTTCACCTGCCGTGTCAATGTAAAGCAGTGGTGGTTTGACCTTCTACGATGCCCTCAGTTGCTCCTTAAACACGTGGGACTAGATGGACATCATCTTTGGGGCCACTTAAAACTGGACCAAAACAAGCTAAGCCAAAAAAGGTTCAAAGGTCGATTCGCTTTTGGCCAGTGAACCTGCGCTTTCAACCGAGAACTCATCATTCATTTGGAAGGCCCTTCCATGGGTATCAAAGCGGGCAATTCCTGCAGTGCAAAGGGCTAGCTTTTGCAAGTGCAAGTTGACAAGGGGGGCCATGTCCAAGGATGGCTTTCCAAGACTCTCCCATCGTCAACTACCATAAACTCCATAGCATGCCTTTGTGTCCCCGGACACAACAAAAAGAAAACATGTCCAGGAGTGAAATCGAATCCCTTTGACGTCTGATTTACGTACGTGGATATAATATTTTTGAGGGAGCCGCCCCCTCCCCCAAAAGGGTGGGTTTTAGACACACCCAAATGGACAATGATTCTTGGAAAGGGCCCCCATGCCCGCCCGTTTCCACGGAACCGGGAATTTAATTTCCAAGACCGTGTTAGAGAAACCCTCTGGGTGTGTCTTCAAATCAGGGACCACCCCAAAAATGGGTGGAGTTTGTCCTTTCGGGCGTGTTTTATTTAGGGGATCCCCCCAAAAAGGTGATGTTCCTGTTGGTGTCCCTTTAAAACCAACTAAAAAGGAGCTCCCCTAAAAAAGTCAAACCCTGTTGGGTTCCCTGTCAAGCAACTCCAAAATGTGCGGATCCATAAAAAGACAGCATGGGTGGCTCACTGTTGGCGACTGGTGACTGGTGGCCCTTCCCATGGCTCGTTCAAGCGCCAATGGCGAGCAAACTCAGTGGACGTTTGCTTACCCCTTAAAACTCCAAGCCCTGGGGAAGTTAATCTTTTACAGACATATAGCCCATGTTACCCCCAACAAGTTGAAAAGTTGTGTTTTTAAGAGGTAAGTTTGGGCTAAGGCTAGTGGAGGTGTCTTTTCCTAGAACCACCCAAAAATGTGTGGCGTTGCCTCTTAAGCAAGGACAGAGCCAAATACTGTGGACCTTCAAGTGGAATCAACCACTTCAGGGGAAGTGAGAATTTGTTGGATGGTCTCAAAGGGAAAGTAAAGGGACAACCGAAGCCAGTTTGGGGGGTCCGATTCCTAAAAACGACCCATGCACCTATATTCTAAACACGTCGAAGCCAAACAAAAAAAACATCTGAAGATTTGGTGTGTGCCTGTGGCTTCTTGAAACCATCTCGGACATGGTTCTTAATTCCCAAGCAAGAGACACAGTTTCTTGGCGCTTTGGCCAGACCTCACGCCATCTCCTTGTTGATGGGGGAAGCAAGGGTTTTGGGACCCAACAAGTTGCCGTGTAAATTGACATGGGACCCAAATAGGGGGAGGGTACCCTATTTTACGGCTTTAAACCAAGCTTTGAAGGGCTGCCCTCGCAAAAAGCACCCCCGGAGTTTCCAGAACCCTTCAAACATGGGCCAGGATTGGCACTAGGGGTAAACCCCAACCCCAAGCCACCAATACAACCACCATACTACAAGGGTTCCCTGAAAGTGAGTAGGCTCCTCATAAAATATGTCCTGGTGATGACACCCCCAGTTCCGGAACGGCGCCCTTACCAGCGAGCATAGATATATCTTTCTCACCACCGTCCGGCGCTTTCGCGCCTCGAATCGCTCCTGGACCTTCTTCAGGACCTGCAACGAACGGCAGTCTTGAAAGCAAGGCCCCGAATCGATCCCGCGGAAGTGGCTCGTACTTGGAGGGTACCGAATTTAGGGAAATCAAAAGGAAGCCCAAGCCCCCTTTGTTTCTTGGGGGGGGGGGGAGTCAAATCCAAAAAGGACACTGCCACATTTGCGTGACTGAAATCGGTGTGGCGTGCCGCCTGAGTCATGTTTAAAATCAGCCCTATCGGTGGGTTGGTGGTGGGGTGGTTTCACATTTCTACCAGAACCACGTCCAAATTCAAACCACCAGGCTCCAAACCAAACAAATACCTGGGCAATTTTGGATCTCAAAAACTACAACCCTCAGAAAGGATCGAAAAGAGACCAAAGACCTCAAATGAGTCATAATCAAAACCTGGTTTATTAACATGGTCATAATCCCATAAACTATGTAAAGAAATACAAAACACGGCAAATATATTTGATTTGCACCATCTTTGGCAAACAGATCGTCCCCCTACCCCGCAAAAAAACGCCGGGGGTTCCGACTGCCAGCGGCCTCCGAAGGCTCCCACGGACCGTCTCGGGCCCTCGGATCGGATCGGATCCTCGCCTCGGCGTCCTCGTCGGTGGCCACGAAGGTCAAGGCCAGGCCTTTGGTGCCGAAGCGCCCCGCGCGGCCCACGCGGTGCCTCGGTCGATCGCGCTCCAGCGGCCGACGCGCGCGGGGGGAAGGCGCGGAGGCGCGCGCGAGCGGAGAAGGCGCGCGGCAGGCGGCCCGGGGGAAAAAATGCCGCCCGACCGGCGGTTTTCCCCCCCCAAACCAAACAAACATATAATATGCAAAAATG